TTTCCCTGGATAGAGACCGAAATGACTTGTGAGCCAGTGACTGAGTGTACAGCATCTCTATTACATTAAGATTAATAATTCCTCACAGCGTATTTGCAGCTGGAAGTTTTATATAGGTCTTTAGTCATCGTGATGTGAACAGCTGCTCTTTTGCTGCACTGTTGAATTAAAGTCCAAGTGGCAGCACTAGAAAGTGCCACATAAAACACACTCCTGCTGTTTTCCATTCACTCCTTCTCCCGTCCAGCTCTTGCCCTCTGCGCAGGCTTAGCCCTTTGCAGGAGCAAGCCATTTTATTTTTATTTGTGGACCAGCTCTGACTACATTTGGATCTTAAAACAGAGTTTGAGTGAATCCAAGGAAAATTAGTTTTAGAAAGGAAAAATAAATCTTGAAAGCGGCACAAAAAACTGTAGGAATTCCTGTTACATTTTTATTTGAAGTGAAGGACTAAGGTGTAGTAGCATGTATGTTAAGTCGCACAGGGCATAAATTATATGCTTTTTTTGGTTAACTGTCAGACAAAATTCAGCAGAAGCTATCACAGCCAGACGGTCACCTCAGCTCCTAAGGAGGTGTTTTATTTTTTTTTTTTAATTCTGAAGTCTGTCTGCTCTGCTGTTTTGAATAAGACTCTCCTCTTTTTTTGGCTTGTGCTCTCATCAGAGAACAGAGTGTACAGGAGCATTTGTGTGGCCCAAGTTCAGCACCTCCATTTTGAATCCACGGTGACAAGTGGTCTGGAGCTGAGCTTTGCACGTCATCCAAAAACTGGCACCCACTATTGCATGCCTGGTTGCCGGCAAAGGGAAGAGGTACCTGGTCAGGATGATGTGCCTCTCTCAGTCCTAGGTACGCTGTGGGCTGCAGCAGCCTGCATCCTTTTGGGCCAGAGACCTAAAAAGCACGAAGGGCATGTGGGTGGTACAGTAGTGGCTGAAACATGTACAGTTCCAGAGCGTGCTGCTGAAGGTGGAGAGAAACAGCTGGAAAGAGACAGGGATGCTGCGAGAGCCCGCAGCAGGGCGGGCGCCGCAGTGGTTTGTTGGTGCCCAGTGGACGCTGCGTGTCTGGCCGAATCGGCGCTGCCAGGGCCACTCCTTGCTCCGTGGGGTCCTGCATCTCTCGGCTGGGGGCTGCCGGCCCTTGCCTGGAGCCCGCTCTGGAGGGCAGAGTACAGCTGCCTGGTAGTGCCCTGCCCCTGCCCTGGGGTGCGCGGTGCACCCCCTTATCTGCCAGAGGGCTGCCTGGCTTTTCCCGGGCACTTGGTATTAAGCCCTTTGGTTTGGGAGGAGAGGCTGAGTGGAGAGCCTCTACCATCCCCTGGCTCTGGGCACCTGAAGTGTGTTTTTTCCACAAGCCTCCCCTAGCAAAGGAATTCGGAGTCAAACCAGGCCAGAATAGGAATAGGAGGGGACTTTGTGGTGAGGGCAGTCTTTTCGTGTCTTTTTTTTTCCCAGAGCCATAGGTTGCTGGCTCCCTGAGCCTTCAGCAGCAGGTCCCTGGGCGTTTTCAGCCCAGGGGCGCAGAGGCAGGGCAGTTCAGTGGCTGCCCAGGCGAAGGTCAGGCAGGATCTCTGCAGTGCACGTGAGAACAGATGCCTGAGTCTCCACTTCACTTCACGTGATAGTCATTGCCCGCAAGACCAACTTTTCCCTCTTCCCGTTTAAACCCGTGATGCAATGGCTTACATCTCCTGGTGCTTCTACGTGGTAGCTAAAAGTAAATTCTTTTTCTTAAAAATCAGATTGATGACCCTATTTTTATGCATGCACGGTGCTCACAGCTAAAATCAATACTCAGGATGTTTGTGCACTTTCCTTGTAGTTTAAACAGTTTGATCTTCCATTTGGTTTTAAAAAATCAGGACACCGAGCACTCGCTGTTGTTATTTTTTTGAGGCTGTACATTAGCTACATTTTTAAAACATGACAATGTGTTTCATTTTATCATTTATCATGTGCAGTTACTGTAACCGAAAAAAAGACCTACTGCTTGAGAAAGTTAGCAATTAAGCTATTTGGTGTGTAGCTCCTGAAGCTCTGGTTTAAAAAGACAAGCAGCAATTACTTTAAAAATGTCACTATTTTATAGATTTTATCCTGTTTGACCTTTTTGAAAGCATTAGAATTACATTCCAAAAACATTGATGGGGAAAAAAGGGAAAGAAGCCCCCTCTCCCCAGACTGGGTGTTTAGTCTCACTAATGATTCTCTCCAGACTGACTCAGGGTATTCCTTCAACAGTTCTAGAAATGCAAGTGGGACAGACGGACCCGTAAGGCATTGCTGAGTGTAAGCACTGTGGTACCTGCTGCAAGCAGCGTGGCCATCAGTTACATGGTAGGATAAGAAAATGTAGATATTGTTCTTACTATACACCATAAATGGGTGTATTTAGTTGTTGTCTTTATTACGTACCAAACGTACAAAGGGCAGGCACACACATTTGTAGATGCATCGCTGATATGGATGTTACCTATGGATTTTTTTGGCACATCATTATCATTAAGGATGCAGCCCCTACTAGCCTGGAGAGTCTCAAGCGCAAGCTGCTGACTAGTTTAGAGTGTCCCTGGTCATGCCCCACTTTGTTATTAGTGGGAGCTCTGCCCTGAATGCGTTGGGACGGGCTAAGCCCTAAATCAGCCACTACGGTCATTTAACACATTTACAGTGTCAGAGTCTGGAGGAATGCAACGCTGTAGGGTTTTTGCAGTCTTTTCCCAGAACTCCCAATAAGTACATTTAAAAGCTATTACGTAGTATAGCTCCCTTTTTTCCTGACGGCGTGAGTGGGTGCAGAGGGTATACCTGGCTGGTGTGTCCCGTCAGAATGGGACCATTCTTTCGGTGGCCTCCAGGAGCCTCTCCAGGCACAGAGGGCTCCTTGTTACGACAGGTAGCTTTCTGAGCATTTCAACAGATGCTTCAGCATGCCAAAAGCATAAAGCACTTGGAAGGGAGCACGCAGAATATTTCAGCCGCGTTTCTTAAAATAAATGTCGTGGCTTAAATAATAGAAGTTTTCCTCACAGACTCCGGAATAACCACCGATGGTGAAATAGCGTTTGAGTTATTGGATGCGACATTTGCAAAAATGCCTCAAAATTCGGTAACTACAGCGAGGTTTGGGGACATCTTGCTTTTTTTTCCTAACACTCACGTTAAGAGCACCTCAGCTCCGTCTGCTCATCATTTTTCAAGTCTGTTTAATTCTGATTGCCAGATTTCATAGATATGCACCAGGCGCACGGTTGGAATCCAGGCAGGCTGGGTATGCTCACGTCTGTGATAAACCGCAGGTTATCATCGCTGTAGGACTGATTCAGATAGTACCTTGCAATCGGATGTTGGCTGCGAGGGGTGAAACGGCACTGTTTCCCTCGCGCTGTGCTGGCCGCCGGAGGAAGATGCCTGGCGTTCAGCGCCGTGGCGCCTGGACGCGCGAAAACATTCAGCCCTGATGCACGGTGCATGGCACGTCTGTCTGGGGAAAGGCAGGGATTTGCTTTGGCACCCTGCGTCAAGACAAGCAGCAATCTACTGGTGAGAATCAAGACATGTTGGTGGGAGAGGGTGTTGTGAAAGCGATGATGGAGAGGTGTAGGAATCCCAGGGAAAGCTTGGTGCGGTGGAGCAGTCGCCCAGCCGGTGCAGCCTTTCCCTCGCTCTTGCGTAAGATAATGCAAGGTGGCAAAGAGCTTAACTGTGATCGGTCCTGTTCTGGTGTTAATTACCAGTGACTGCATCGCTTTTGATAGAATTAGAGGAGTGTAAAATAGGCCCACAATTAAGTTTGATTTTGATCTTAGCAGCTTCAGACAATATAAATGCAAATATCATTTGAGACCAGTTCAAATATTTTCAACAGTGTTGCTCAAAAAAGAAAAGAGCAGAGTAGTCAGTGGTCAGTCAGAACAGGAGAATATGACCTACTTTCATTTCAAAACCAAAACCTGCATACTTAAGTTTTGCCTGCATTTTTCCTTTGTACTAAACCAGGCGACTGCTGTATCCTCACCTTTATTTGGGAAGGAAAACTCATTCCAAAACATTGTGCACCTGATCCCTATTTGCAGCTAAGTCCTTTTACTCTTTCACAGCAGGGAAAAGTACAGCTCTTTCCACTGGGATCTACGTATTGCCAAGCAAAGCACGCTTGGTAGGAAAGGCACATCCTTTATTATGAATGCCGTAGCCAAGAGCTGCCTTTGTCACCTGTACTCAGCCACTGAGTTATTAAGAGAAGAGCTTCGGACTGTGTTACACAGAGAAAAAGATAAAAATAGGGTGTCTGACGCATGCATCCCATGTCGCACGCCAGGAAACAGAATCGTTATACCACCAAGTACAGTATTCCAGAGCACGCGTGGAAAATATGCATGGATGTGAACGCGCGAGATCTTTCCTAACAAAGAAAAATACTCAGTGCCCCTTTTTCCCCTTCCCATTTTACATCTGTCTTGTTCGATATTCCCTTTACCTGTTGACAAATCTAACAGCCCGGAGTACCACAGCTCTGCCTTTACTGCCACCGCTCCCCTCCCAGTCCAGCTGAACGATGTCACAGTAAAGATGTGACAGTAGTAATGCTCACCTATATTTTGAGGGAGCCGCAGAATATTCTCGCTGCACCCAGCTGAGAGTAAGCAAAATCTTGCCCGTCCTCCAGACATCTGCAGCATGCTGAGAACTCGCAAAGCTCTACGCTGTCTGTCACAGAAGTTGTGCGCTGGGTGCATAATCTAAAATTAGTCATCCACAGTATGTGCCCCTTTAAATGTTAATCCTTGCATCATTTTCTTTTATTGCTTCTGTTGGCATACGTGATTATGTGACATAATATAAAAGTAAATAATGTGATGCAATGGGTAAAACTCAAAGGGAAATACATATCAGATACCAGATGCTTCCTACTGCAGAATATGAAATAAAACTTACAGTGAGTTGAGAGTGAGGATTTTGCCTGTTTTGAGAGCAGCAAAACCAACCATATAGTGATTACATTAGTCTTTCTGGGTGTTTTTGACACCTCCCAGCTCTTGAAAATTCATGTTCGTTCAGTGCTGTAGCCACTACTTGTCTTCAGGTGCAGAAGTAGCTGTCAGGGAGTAAGTAACTGTGGGTAATGGATCCAAAGCAAAGCCCAGCAGGGCTGTACGACAGGGCCTTTAAAAAAACCCAAACATAAATTTAGTTTAAAGATCACAAGCCTTAAAAAACAATGCAAAACATGCATCTGAGATCTTACTATTTATTTTCAGCATGTGAACCCTTCTCAGGGGAGGGCAGGTACGCAAAGCTGAGGACTTTGGGTGTTCAGTTGCCTCCTGGTAGGAATCCTGTGGGAAAAGCACAAGCTGAGACTCAGCAGTAGGTTGCGAGATATGGCAGCAGCCGAGTTCAGATTTAAAGATAAAGCCTGAAATAGCAGAACCCAATGCAAGACCAACATTTTTTGACCCCTTTCCCTGGATTCAGTAAAACATATGGGTACCTCGGTGTGCGATTTAGCTTTTGCTGAATTGAGGTTTGAGTTACTCGCTAGTCTATTTTTACCTTTTAAGCGGCCTTGTAATTCAATATGTGTTTGTTTTAATTTTACACTCTCCATAAAAAGCACCGTCCATGACGAGCTGGAGAAGTGACCACTGGTAATGCATAGAAATTTAATCGGCTGGTGTGTCACACTGTCTTACTTTTTCCCCCTGCAAACCTGTGTGCCGCTTGCGATCAAAAATGCCCCACGATACCCCGCGTCTCCTCCGTCACCTCAGCTTTGCCTCTGAGGCTCTGGAGATGCGGAGGCAGGGTGAGATCAGACCGGGCCGAATCCAGCTCACTCCACCAGCCCTGCTCGCTCGCGCCGGTGACGGTAGTGAACAGCCAGGGCTGCAAGGCGGGGAGCACGGGGTGGTGATGAGTAGGACGGTGGCTTCCCCGTGGCCGCCCGCTGTGCCAGGAGCGCATCTGCGATCGCCTGCCGGCAGCGCGGGCTGCACCTCCACCTATGGGGGTTAAAGCCAGAAAGCCCTCTTTTTGCAGTGTAGCGCTAATGTTGGTGTCAAGGGCTGTTGGAGGTGGGTGTTCCATGTGGGGCTGAACCGAGATGTGGAGCCCACGGCACCCTGCTGAAGGCAACACGCAGGCTTGGCTCTGCTTTTCTCTCTCCGTCATTTTGCCAATACCACAGATTTTCAAACCGCTGCTAATGTGTTTCAAATTTGACAACGCTGATATGGAAACCCCCATATCATATCACAACCCCCTGGCTCCGAGCTGCCTTCGTGTGGTGTCTCAGCAATGCAGAGCTGATAAAATACTGGAGTGCTAGAAATGAGCCGCCTCCTCCTGTCCCTGTGTCCTCCCGGCATCCATGTGCTTTAGGTAAGGATGTAAAAATTGCTACACCAAATCAAACAAATTAAAGTGCTTCTGTTTTCCTCTTGGCTCTTCTGACCAAAGCATTGGGTGAAAAATCTGCAGTACGCCCGATTAGTGATAGAAGATGTGTCTAGGCACAGCGTCCTTCCTTGCTCATGCATTGGTTACTGTGGTACCTGAAACATTGCCATTATGCATTCCTGTTGCCATCAGTGTGTTTGATAGCAGTGGGAAGACTTTGTGCCTGTGTTTGCACTCATCAGAATTTTGCAGTGCTCAAGGAGCAAA